GCCCCAAACCCATGGGCTTCCTCCTACCTCAGCATCCTAACTGCTGGGATTTCGGGTTTACACCATGCTCATCTCACACATGTACAGTTCATATAGCTCCTAATTTGGGGCCAGCATAATTTAACCTAGTAACATTTATACCATACTTTTATTAATGGTCTGTTAACTCTTTATGTGTTTATGTTAGGAATACTATCTGTGATGTTCCATTTTCCTGAAAAATGCATTTGTCTGCATAATTGACTTTCTTTTTTTTTTTATTTTATTTATTTATGCGTGTGTGTGTGTCTGTGTGTGTGTGTGTGTCCAGCTCAGCCCACCAGGGGGCGGGGCTGGCTGGCATGTAGTGCTGGGGGATTGAACCGCGGTCCCTGTGCTTTGCTTAGCTTGTTCTAGGTAGCTGCTTTAGACCACTGAGCCATCTCACCAGCCCCTAATTGACTTTCATGTAATTTATTTGTTACAAATAAAGTTATCAATAAATAACTAAATTTAGAAATACTGAAACCTGAATTTCCAAATTTGAATTTCTCTATTATAGTAGGAACCTCTTATCTGACTTGATGTGGACTAGTAATTTCTTTAAAAAACAAGTCAGTTAACTCATAAAATTGTTCTATAGACATACCTGCGGATCTTATTTTAATTTGTGACATACGTAGTACATAAAAATTCCTTTGCCGGGCTGTAGAGATGGCTCAGTGGAATAAGTGCTTGCCTGGCAAGCACAAGGGCCTGAGTTCAAGCCCTGGTTCCACAAAAATAAATAAATAAATAAAAAATAAAAATAAGTAATTAAATAATTTAGGGGCTGGTGAGATGGCTCAGTGGTCCAAAGCACCTACTTAGAACAAGCTTAGCAAAGCACAGGGACCTCGGTTCAATCCCCCAGCACCACATGCCAGCCAGCCCCGCCCCCTGGTGGACTGAGCTGGCCACACACACACACACACGCACATAATAAAAAATTTTTTTAAAAAAACTCCTTTGCCAATCTTGACATTGGACTGTTTTTATCCTTAGGTTTTAAGTTCAACTATGGGTATTGTACCTCTTTTTTTTGTTTTACTTGTGTTCTTTTTCGCATGAGTAGCAACCACAATAAAAAGTCATCAATAAAAACAGTATTCTTAAAACATCTAAATTCAGAGTACATCTAGATTTTGTTGATTTTTGTTTTACCTTTTATAATTGTGTGACATTGAGAGATGTTTTGTTTTAATGTAATGGCTGGGATTAAATATATTGCCCACAGGAGACCAAATTAAGGGAATTACAGAGCCTTTAATAATTAATCAATTAATAATTCAATAATTAGCCGAGGACTACTGTGCTCCCCTCCCCATCTGGGAAAACACAAAAGGCCCAATTTTCTTTCTCCGCCTGCTTTTGTAGTTTCTTTGTTGCTATGGGGTCACAGCAGGAATGTGATGCCCCTGTATCTATAGGTGCGAGGTCTTCAGTGAAGGAATTTATGGTTAAGTGTGGCCAAATAGTCTGTCTCTCACTGCCCCAACTAAATGGGTCCTGTCTCCTCCTGATCTCCTGTTTGTGAAGTTCTGACAGTGCAGGGGAGTGAGGAATGGGGTAATTCAGACAAGGCTCCTTCTATGTAAATACTTCAGGCAGGGGTCAGATGAAATTGATTCTGTCTCAGTTTCTTCTACTTGTAAAAGTGAATAGGTTATGATGCTGGATGCCATCCCTTATGTTACATTTATCCTGACTTGCCAGCAACTTGTCATTGAGACTCTTGCACACTTACATTTTGTCACCTTACACACTAAGAACTGTGTTACACTGCTGAGCTAACAGTAGCTCCCTAAGTGGAACCCTGCTCCCTCTCGTGCGTATGCACAGCGCACGTGGGAGCACACTAGAGAAACAGCTCTTGCCTCTGCTGTGGGGGAAGGAAGAGTCTGGGGCCAGGTCAGTTTAGAAGGCTTCTGTGTGCTGTACTCCCTGCAGTTTAAATTATATGTGAGATGTCCATTCTTATGTGCTTGAAAACAACAAAATGCAAGAGAAAAAGATAATTCAAGAAATTAATCTCACAAAGTGAAAACACACTGAAAAATAGTACCCTTTGCCATTCGGACAGGTCACTGTTGCAAGATTGTTTTTGTCTAAAAATAAGAAAAAGTTTGAGCTTTTTCTAGTATAATCAGAAAAAGGAATATGGGAGGGGAATATGAGATGCAGTTAATATGGAAAGCTGATTGACCATATTTATGTGCTAATGATGAACACATTGGTAAATTGAGCTGGCAGCTCATCCCTGGGTATCTACCTGGCAGGTGTGTGCCTGTGTGTGTGTAGACTAAAGGATGTTATTTGCTAGTATTAGATATGTGTACAAGAAGGTTTATAGTGGCATTACTGGTAATGCTCAAAACTTGGAAACACTCCATGTCTGTCAGCAGTAGGAGTGTAGATAATACATCATGCTGTGTTTGACTCACAGAATAATGTACACAGAACCTCATGAGAAAAGACATCAAAACAACTACATAGCATATGATATTAACTAACAGGCGAAAGTCAGCTTTGCTGTCAGTGTTGTGGGCACTTCTTGTGAAAGAGCAAAGGAAGGAGCGCCTGGGAAGGAGGGAGAGCCCAGAGCCCCTTGACGGTTGTAGAGACCTCGGGTGTGGGTGCTGCTCTCTCTGAGCACATTCTGTTTGGCTTTTGTGTTCCAGCTCCGTACACTATATTGTGCATGATACACTTTTTAGAAATGTGGCTGTAGGGCTGAGGAGATAGCTCAGCATTCTAAGCGCCTGCCTGGCAAGCACAAGGACCTGGCCGGGTTCAATCCCTGTACCACATGCCCTGCCAGTCTCCATGCTGAGCCAGCCACCGAAACTGGACGTGGTGGCACATGCCTGTAATCCTAGCACTGGGGAGGCTGAGACAGGAGGATTGCTATGAGTCTGAACTGCATAGTAAGACCCCGTACCAAATACCTAAATAAATAATAGAAATGTGACTATATCTGATGGAACTAGTGGGAAGATGAACCATCTAGTAAAGTCACAAATTGAGTCAAGCCCCACAGAAATACTTGAGAAAGGTTTCATTAAGCATTCTATTAAAAGGGAGATAAGACTTAATGAGTTAAATTGTACCATCTGTAGCTAATTTAGTCAGGATAACTTTTTGGCCCAGTTTGTTGTATCTTGCATGCTTAATGCTTAGATTTATGCGACCACTGAGGATTATTGATAACCATTTAATTATAAACCATAAATCATCTTTATTCTACCTCCCTGAAAAGTGCTCTCGATTACCCTGCTCTTGTTTAAGTTTGTTTTTAAAACAGCATCAGTTCTATTTGGGATAAAATACTGCTTGAAAATGAGACAGAACATGGATCTTTGCACACAAATAGACTTCATTGGTTGACCTAATTTTATATATCACTACCCGCGTTTGTACCATTTTGTTTCCTTCATTTGAAGAAGGGACATCATAAAAATGTTCTTGTATGTATTTGCACAGTTTATATAATGTCCAACAAAAAACCCATACATAGTAAAATAGGCTTCTGGTATTCACTGCATTTGGAAGAAAAATTTAGTTTTACCTCAGTAGTGCTCCAGTGTGGGCAGCGAGCGCATTACCATGCACACGGCACTGAAAGAAGGGCTTTGCCGCGGCGCCATTAATCTGCCCGCTCACTGCAGGGGAAGAAACGCGGTTGCCAGCCCTTCAGTGTATGTGATCCTTTCTTCAGTTAAGTTGTGTTTCCTTTTTGTTTAATGTATTTGGTGCAGGGTCTCACTATGCAGCTCGGACTCGTAGTGGTCCTCCTTTGTTCAGCCTGTTGGGCCAGCACAGCATGTGATGCTGGAGATCAAACCCTGGTCCTTGGGTCGCTGAGCTATCTTGCCAGCCCTTGTAAGTGTTTCCTTTTATTGGAAATTTGGATGCAAACTATTGATTTGAAAAGAGTATACTTCTGATAGTTAACATAGGTAATTATGAAAAAATTTGTATTACATTGTATGTAACAGTATTTTAAAGTATGAAATGCTGTGATTTTTACCTGAAAGAAAAATAGTTAAAATGACGTAGCTTGACACAGCACACCATTATCTAATGTCAACTTTCTTTGAAATGAATTTCTGCCTATGTGTATTATTGAATTTATATATATGAAGTTTTTTTAAACAATTTTACAGTCCTAAAATGACTCGTGTAAAACAGAAGAAAAGTCAGTAACAGCGTAGTCTGCTGTGCTGAGGCCCTCATACGTGAAGCATGCACCCCACAGTGCTGTGTCCCAACCCTGAAGGTGTTCAGTTCCTAAGAGCCACATTCCAGGGATACCTTGCCACCTTCTGTCTCACTGTGCCAGAATGCCATGCAGTGGCCACAGGAGACAGCGGGGCTGACACAGCAGTGGCCGCCAGGCAGGGTGACAAGCAGAATTTCATCAGTGAGTCCTGCTCGCTGAGTGTAGCTGCCAAGGAGGGCACCCATCTGTCTGTAGCTGTCCCCCATGGCTGCTCGAGGTCCTGCTGAAGAAGGGAGCCAGACAGAAGTCACATGGCCAGCAACCAGCCATTGGGATGGAGAGTCACAAGTAGGGGTACCTAGGAGAGGAGGTGGTCCTCACATCCTGCTGCCTCTGACTGGGAAAGAGCCAAGCCACCACTGGCGCCATGTTGCCCCAGGCCTGGTGGATGGATGATCCTTAGATGATTGCCGGGGTAGGAAGGCTGTCTGAGGAGTGACCTAAAAGCTTCCGGATTTAGCCCACAGAGGAAAGACGTGTATAAGTTCTCCGTTCGCCAAGAATAAGTTTGGTAAAGCTTGAGTTCTTAGAGCTGTTTTCCCGGTTCCCAGCATAGTGTTGTAATTTCCTTCAGAAGATATGTATTATGTAAAAATGCCTACTTACAACCTGTGCTAATAATTGTGAATACAATGATGGACATGTCATGTTTTGCTAGTGATTTGGCAAGCATATTTAACATAATCCTACTCTTTTATAGGATTTGGAACTTGGAAGGAAGGCAAACAGCTCATTTTGTTCTTCATTCCCCTGGAATGAGTGTGTGCTGGCATCCTGAGGAGAATTTTAAGGTTATTCTTTATGACTTTTATCCAACTGAAAAGAAAACCTAGATACAGCATGTACACCCACCTAGGAGAGAAACCCATCCCTTTCCTACCCAGAGTCCAAATGGCACGATACATTTGTGTTAGTCTAGAGGTCCAGACAAGATTCTCTAAAACTGGCAAAGTTTTCGACAGCCATCATCTGCAAATGGCAGTTATTCAAAGTTCATTTTTTCCTCACCCTTGGGCAGATTATAGTCTAAAACTCATGTCCAGGTAGTCTGGTAGCAGCAGTGTACAGTTAAAAAGAAAACAAAACGTTACACCGTGTCCCCAAATGCATATAAAGGGAGAACTTTGGCTGCATAAGGAGAATTTGCCCTGGCCACAGGGGTGTTCATTTCCATCCAGAAGAGAGCTTTGCAAAGTATCACCCAGCATGAGTTCTCATCAGCTGGCCCTAACGTTTGTTGCATTGGGAGAACAGTAGCTGTTCACAGTGGTTTATTTACCAGGAGCTTGAGCACTGCTGAGTGTTAAGCCTCTGTAGAAAGCCAAACATGCCATGTTCACCTTCAGCTTACGCCCTAGCTGCTGTCCAGAGCTCCTGCCCATGCCATGTGCCTCACTCTTACAGCCCCCTTCACATTGTCCATCCGCCCTTGCCCTCCACTGACTATTCCTTCCTCAAGTTGATATAAAAGTTGATTTTGTGTTGTTGAAGCAAAAATACAGTATTCAAGTATGCCAGGCCAGAGTATTTTCTATCTTCTTCCAACCGCTTGGGTTGATAATCCCCACTTTACAGAGAAGGACAGCAAGGTTCGGCTGAACACCCTGCCCAGAGCTCCAGGGCCAGGAAGTGAAAGAGCTGGTATTGGAACCCATGCAGCCTGGTTCAGGAGTTCTTTTTTGGTTGGTGTTTGTTTGTTTGTTTGTTTGTTGGTACCAGGGATTGAACTCAGGACCTTGCGCTTGCCAGGCAAGCACTTATTCTACTAAGCCATCTCCCCAGCCAAGAAGCTCTTGTTCTTAACTACTGTGTTCTTCTGTCCTCCTACACAGGCGTGTCTTTTGCTCCCCAACTTTGAACATGTAAGAATTGGAGCCAAAGAAATGGGGAATTGGAGACATGTAGAGATGGCTTGTTCTCCACAGGCTCAAGATCAACTGTCCCACATAAAAGGAAAAACATAGAAACTAGCCTTTTCACACCTTTATTTCTAAATCTTTGGCTCCATTGCCTACAAAACTTTAGTTCTGCTTTCCTTGGCCCTTGGTCTAACCATAATCTCACTCCATGACCACTAGTACTATTACTGGGCCACACTTGCAGTGGCCTTTCACTTCCTTCATAATCCCAGGCCAACCCTTTACATCACTGGTCAAACTTCTTGCCACTCCAAGCTACACTACCCTGTTCTTAAACAAATTTGTTTCTTTATATAGCAAGCTCTTTTCAGGCTGTGTATTTGTGAGTTGCTCCCAGGATTAGTTCTGGTGATACTGTACTATTACTGTAATAGGGGATAAAGAACTAAATAAGATCTCTACTTTTTTAAGTTTCACACTGAATTCTAAAGAACAAAACCATGTAAATGCAACAACACAGATACTAAGGGTTTGTTTTAGTTGCTTTGCTTGTTGCTGATACAAAATAACAAACACCTACAGTTAAAAGAGGGGAGGTTTATTTAGCTTACAGTTTACAGAAGTTTCAGTCCATATTCAGCTGGCTCCAAGACAGGGTAGCACAGGGCAGAGGGGCACAGTTTATGGTGGCTGAAGACTATAAAAGCAACAACCTACAGACAGAGGACTCTTCCTGCCACTTACATAGTTTGCAGGCCACCTTCCCCGGGGTGCACACCCTTAATCCTAACATTGGACCAAGAATCGCCCACAAACTCTAGATTTGGCCACCTCTGAAAAGCCTGCCCCTCCGAAGACTCTTGCACATCCTTTTATGCAAAAAAACATTTAGTCTATCTCTAAGAGTTCCCAATGTCCAGTTTCAAACTTTTCTTTGCTAAAAAGTCCAAGGCCCACATCTCCTCTGAGTTTTAAGGCGAACTCTTATCTGTGAGCCCTTACGCAGATGAAAGTTAAACACTTCCGCATACGTTCTGTGGCTCAAGATAGGCTTTTCCATTGCAAAAGTTACAAACAGGGATATACAAGAATGGGACCGAAGCAAGTCCAGAATCCAACAGGGCATGCATTAAGTCTTGTAGTTCACTGTGTGGCATCTGAGGTAATCTGTGCCAAGATGCGAACTCCAAAGGGCTTGTGCCTCCATTCCTGTGGCAGTTCTGGTGGTTGGAGCTCCCGTGGCTCCTCTTGGGCTGACTCTGCTCCCTCCTTGTAGTTTTTCTCAGATGATCCACATTCCTGGTTTCTCCAGATTTCTGAGGACTCTACTGCACTGTTGGCTCCACACCCCACCACCCCACCCAGCTTCATGCATTGTCCTCTCGGGCATACCGCCAGGGCTCCCAGGCCTTCTGAAATTGGAGTGGAAGCCTCCCTGACCTCACAGCTCTTCCATTCTGCATGCACCTAAAACCAGCCCCATGTGGATGGTGCCACGGTCTGCTGCCAGCTAGAGCAGTAGCCAGGCTTCCCTCTCTGGGCTGTAGGGGTTGAGTGCCTGGATTACTTTGCACTCTGAATCTAATTCTGAGGAACAAATTCTTTAGGCCCCTGCCATTCTAGAACCTGATGCCTGAGGCTTTCTCCTTAAACCAAAGTCTATCAGGGTTTTTTTTTTGTTGGGGTTTTTTTTTAATGCATTTTCTTTTCCAGAATTTTATTTACTTTTTTTTTTTTTTTCCTGTATTTTTGGTTGGTTTTAGGGAAGGCCTGTAGAGTGTTCAGGGTCTCTACTAGATCGGACTCGTAGTGATCTGCCTGTTTACAGTCCAGAGAGCTGGGATTACAGGCGCGTCACCACTCCCAGTCTCTCATCTATCAGTTTTACAGTTTTGAGGCTGCAGAGAGTAGAATCCTGCTGCTTCCTCTGATGCCCTCAGGCCATCTTTTATATTCTTCTGTTCTTTCTTAGTAATCAAGATCTCTCCTCTGCTGTTGCAGTCCACAGCTTTACTGGAGTTTCCTTTCTGGCCAAATTCACAACATTGTAAGTCACTCTTCTGGGCTCTTCACTCTTGTTTCTCAACATAGATCTGGCCATAACCTCAACCTTCAACTTCCTTGAAATTTCTACAGGATTAGTCTGCCACCCTTAATCTCAGTCTCAGGCAAAGTCTGGACATGAGCAAAATGCAGACAAACTTTCTGCCAAACCATAACACATATCATCTGGAGTGCAAGAGCCAGTGCAGTCCTTCCCAGCAAAAACCTCCACAGCCCGACCTTTCCTGGCAGTGTTTCATTCAGCCTTCTGGTCTTTTGGGCTGTGACCAGAGTCTCCCATACGAAACAGCCAAAGGCATTCCAGCTCTACGTTTTCAGCCAGCATCTCCCTCCCCTTTCAAAACTTCCCACAAACCATTCCCAAAGGATCTTCAACCACATGGGCAGGTACAATGACGACAACCCCACTTCTCTGGTTCCAAATTCTGATTTAGTATTTTTCTAATTACTGAGGCAAAATTTCCAGCACCCAAAGTTAAAGGGGAAAAGATTTATTTACCTCACAGTTTGTAGAGCTTTCAGTCCATAATTTCACCCAAAGCAGGGTGGCACTTGGCAGAAGAATGCTCATGGCATCAGAAGATAGCAAAAGCAACAAAAACAATTGCTGTCCCTTATATTTATGCAGGCTACCCACTGTAGGGTAGGTGTGGCATTCAAGCCTAATCTCAGCATTAGACCAAGAATCTATCACAAAATGATTCAGATACCTCCAAAAAGCCTGTCCCCCATAACCACATGAGGCTGGGCGGGGGGGCATCCAGACACAAACCATAACAGTGTTGGAATAAAGTAATGTGTTTAGTAGAATAGTGACACAGAGAAGGACCAATCAGGTGTTCTCACCGTGTTTCTGGAGGACCCACCTCAGACAGCAGAAGTGGGCTCTCCGAACCTGGGATTCCGTGCATGTCACTGCTCTGCAGACGCTCTGGCCTTCAAGCAAAAGCATTCTGACTCTGGGCAGGTTCCAGTGTGAAACCTGATGCCCAGATGGGATCTATTGTCATTGTACCTGAATGACATGTTCTCATTTATTCACATGAAATGTATAGGCATCCATTATACCTATACGAATCCAGGTCCTAAATTTTATTTTATGCCTAGATTTCTGTACTCAAGCAGTGAGTCTACTTAAAACAATGGAGAATTCTACCAAAATGTTAGTATCACCCCATTAAATACAATAAGCTAGTTTTTAACCTAGATAAGAAATTAGAACATACATTTATTTGTTTGTTTGTTTGTATTTTAGGGAATTGTCTACAGGGTGTTCAGGGTCTCACCACTAGATCAGACTCATAGTGATCCGCCTGTTTACAGCCTCCCAGGAGCTGGGATTACAGGTGCACACCACCACGCCCAGTCTCGATTGCCCTTCTCAGGGCACCCTGGGAACAGGGCCAGCATGGCAGGCCTGGGCATCAAACCCCCGTCCCTAATCCACTGAGCTATTTGGCTGGCCCCAAGAACATTTATTAAGAACTGCCATTCCCACATTTATATATTAATGCTTAACTTGTTATTATTTCAAGCTTTTTTTCCATATGCTTTAAGTTTTTATTTTTCCTCTAAAGATGCCCCCCTCTCCCATGTCCTTTTTATATTTTCATGACTTCCAAATGTTTGGAAGTCTCTGTTCTGAATCATATAAACTCAGAAACCTGAAGTTACCTTTAGTTCTTTCCTTCCCATACACACTTTGCTCATTGTTAATTTTCCCTTCATTGTTACGTGTTCTAGGTGTCCCTCTCTTCGTTGAGCTCCGTCTTCCCCTTCCTGTTCTCAGAGCTAACTCATACAAACCTCAGCTTGTTTCTGAAATCCTGCGCTCGCTCCTCCTGCCTACTCAACTAATACTCTTGAAAGTTCTACTTTCTTATGTCGCCTGCAGCCTCAGAGACCAGCACACAGGGAGTGGCTAAGAACGTGGACTGGGGTTACCTGCCTGGAGCACAGTGACATTGGAACCCTCAGGGTGACCCTCAGCAAGTTACCTAAACTCTCACTTCCTTATTGTATATGGTGTGTAACTGTGAAGTGCGCTCTCATTTGTCAGATCCTTTAAAAGGCACGAGGTGAGCAGCCAACACCAAGTACCTCACCTTGTCAGTTGCCGTCGCAGCCCTCACCGGGCAGCCACAGCAGACCAAACCCAGAAGTCACATTCTGACCACAGTCTGGGTGAGAGTGAGACAGGGAGGGAGACATCCCTGTTACCTACATCCTACAGTTCTTTGAAATCACCTGAATCACAAACTGTACAGAGGAGCCTTATAATCTGGAAAGCATGAAACAATGTCAGCTAACAGCTTAAGGTGTATCTTTTTTTTAGACAGGGTCTTGTCATGTAGTTAGGATGGACTTGAACTCACTCTGTAGCCCAGGATGGCCTCAAACTCCTGGCAGTCCTCCTCCTTCAGCCTCCCTTGCACTGGGATGACAAAGTTGTGCCACCATGCCTGGTTCCATCTTTTATTTTTAGTTCTTTTATTTTTGATTTGAAATTAGGCATGATTCATATGATGCTTCCAATGCAGATTATGTATTTGCAAATTCATTTACTCATTAAAATTTGTCTGTAGCCCAAAATCAGAATTCACACCACTTTTTAGATGTGCCGCAGGTACTGTGCAGTCAGCCCCGCCTGAGGCAGAACAAAACAACATTCTGCCCTACACTAACAATAAGATGGGGCTAGCGAGATAGCTTAATGGACTAAAGCACCTACTTTGGCAAACGCAGAGACTACTGTTCTATTCCCAGTACCACATGCCACACCAGCCCCACCCAAGGGTGGGCTGAGCCAGCCACAGAGTCCTGGCATAATGGTCCACGCCTGTAATCGCAGCGCTGGGGAGGTTGAAAGCAGGAGGATCACTATGGGTCCAAGCTGTATAGTGAAACCTTGTGACAACCAAATACATTAAAAATAGAGTGTTGCTGCAATCTGTTCAGTGCAGCACAGCTTACATCGCTGCACTTTTTCTTGGTAATGTCACTATGCACAGGGTCTGTCAAGCACCTTAAGTGCTGCCTGGGAAGATACTGGAGTTGGCTGAGCTGTTTTCAGGCCTGCACTGCTGTCACCTGTTTGTGTTACACAGCTGTCTCAACAGAAACACAAAGCAACACATGGAACAGGTAGCAGCTGTGCTGTAAGGAGCCAGGCAGGGGGGCGCGTGCCGGCAGTCCCTGCATTAGGAAGCCGAGGCAGGAGGAGCATGAGTTGAGGCCAGTGTGGGCTCTGCCGTAGGAGCCTGCTAAGAGGCTCTGGGGAGCCTAATCCTCCCTTTCCCCAAGAGTCATCATTCAAGAGCTCTACAGAAGAGAGAAATTTTCACAGCCTTCTCTGCGCATCAGCAGCTCACACACTCCGTTGAGGCGGTCTGTTCCAGTCTTCCCACCACCGCATACACCAGGCCGTGCTGCCCTAACACTTTTTTCATATTGTCATAGTTTATTAATCAAGATTTATCTTAGGAATTTTTGCACTAGATATAACATTTCACAGATAGATTAATTTATTGAACATCTTAGCAAGATCTTAAAATAAAGGAATTCATCAAAAAAAAAAAAAAAGGAATTAGTCATGAGAGGCTACTCTGGGTCAGGTGCTGACTGGGCACTTCACCTACCTCTGTCCGTCACCACAGCCCCTGCAGCGGCTGTGGTTCACATCTATTCTAGGAACGAAGCTGCCGGTCATATGACGGAGCCCTTTGGATTTTTTTTTGGGGGGTGGAGGGTTGGTTTAGTTTATTTGTGCAGGGTCTCGCTACACAGCTTGAACTCAGTGATCCTCCTGTTCTCAACCTCCCCAGTGCTGGAATTACAGGCATGCACCACCACGTCCAGACTCAAACACTGGCTCAGCATGCCAGTGGGAGCAGGGCTAGCACAGCATGTGGTACCAGGGATCGAACCCCGGCCCCTGCACTTGCCTAAGCAGGTGCTTAGTCCGCTGAGCTATCTCACCAGCCCTGGAGTTCTTTGTTTTTAAATGGGAGTAGCTGTCTGCTCTCAGACCCGCCTGTGATCTTCCTTGTGCCAATCTGCCTCCCACTGGGTACAGATTTCCTGGGTAGGGAGGTGTGACAGAAGTGGAGTGCTTGCCTCTACTTTGTAGGCACAGTAACTGCCTCCTCCCAGGAGCAAAGCTTGGGCCAAGCTCTTTGACCCAATATCACATCCCTCGTCACTTAACTCTTGAGCTTAGCTCTCTTCAGTCCCCTCTGGCCACTGTTCTCTATGATTTTGTTTATAATTGGTGGCAGGTTTTGGGTTTGTTTGTTTTTTTAATTTTAGGGAAGGGTCTATGGGGTGTCCAGGACTCGTAGTGATCCACCTGTTTACAGTCTCCCAAGTGCTGGGATTACAGGCACGCGCCACCACGCCGCCTTTGGTGGCAGCTTTGTACATAGCCTTCACTTATTTCACTGTGTTTGATCTTGCGCGTGTTAAGCACAGTACGCAATGTATTGCTTCTCAAGTTGGGTTATGAGATAAGTAGCTAAGCTCTCTTTGCTTTTTCTGTCTCACAGCTAATGGTGGCAGAGAAGAATGGAGCAATCCGGTTTTACGATCTTGTGACCCATCAGGCTGTTTTGTCTCTTGAATCAGAACAGATACCTTTAATGTCAGCACACTGGTGTTTAAAAAACACCTTCAAGGTTGGGGCAGTTGCAGGAAATGATTGGCTGATATGGGATATCACTCGGTCCAGGTACTTCCTCTCAGTGTCTCTCTAACTTAATCTTGCTAAATGATCCATGGGGATGTTTATGTACCGGGGCCCCATAGAGTGAAAATAAGTGTCTCGGGCAGAAGCGCCAGAGCTGTGGGGTTTGACATGACTGCATTACCCACTGCTTTAGGAGAGACCCAGAAAGGGCAGCGCAGGGCAAGAGCCATGGCCTGAGCAACACCTTTTTTTTTTTTTTTTTTTTTTTTTTTGTGTAACCAAGGATTGAACTCAGGCCCTTGCGCTTACCAGGGAAGCACTTATTCTACTGAGCCATCTCCCCAGCCCTGGGCAACACTTACTTACACTTTTAGAAACAGAACTGGCCCACTGAGCATTGGTGCCCTGGAGAGACGTGTGTCTCACACTACATCTGCTTTGATTGAGAACCACTTGGAATGTTGTTGTTTCGTAGGGTTTTTGAGTCAAGGTTTCACTAGCTAGTTTGAGCAGGCCTTGAATGCTCTATGTAGTCCATGCTGACCTCAGATTTGCAGTAATCCCCCTGCTTCCGCCTACCAAGTATTGGGATCACAGGCGTGCACCACCAGGCTTGACTTGGAATCCTGTTGCTGCTACTGTCATCCTGATTACATAGATGTCAGCAAGAAATGCATTTTTAAAGCAATGAATAGCAGTGGTGAAGGGGCGGGAACAGCCTTGAGGCCGGCTTTGCAGGGCCACCAAACACTCAGACCCTTGTCATTGGGCCCCTAAAGAGAAAATGACTTTAAAACCTGGAAATAATGTATCTCGTTGAGTCTTGAAACGTAATTCACAATATACAAAACTCTGCTTTCCAGTTATCCTCAAGAGACGCGGCCCGTGCACATGGACCGAGCTTACTTGTTCAGGTAATGCACGTGTTTGTTGGTGTTTCCATTGCATTTTTTACATTGCGCCACTGAACTGTTTCCTAGTCCTCACTTCTACACTTGACCTCTTTTTTTCCCTCATTGTTTCATAAGATTTATTTTAAGGGTTAACTCACTTTCTCAACTAAGTCTCTGCTTTTGTTTTCTGGAGTTAACAAGGAGTGAATTTGTTTTCTAAATATTTTCTTTACAAAACTTCATAGTTCACAGAAGCAATATTCCCACTCGAGTACCTCCTTAGCAGTTCCGAGCACACCTGCTTCCTGCTGGCCCGGGCTGGAGGGACTTCAGCTGCAGCAGGCCCCCACTGATGTATCTGCCTCCCTCTCGATGAGAATGTGCACTTAGCACGTATCTGCTACATGCTGGCTTTTTCACTTCAGTTAACTTTTTGTTCTTTTCTGTTTATTTTTTATAGTATTCCATTGTATAAGTTATTAAGCTGCTTTCAGCTTTAAATAACCAGAAAAACAAATAACAGGCTAAAACTAATAGAACATTATAGTGCCATTGATTCTAAACTAATACTTTTTCAAGTCAGTGATTCGACAGTGCTTGGGTGTCAGGGAGAGGGGCTGTCTCAAGGCTGGCTTCTGGGCTCTGCAGGGCCATCTGACGCTCAGACCCTTTCATCCTTGCCCAGGGTTGTGGGCCCAGGGTTATTGCTTCATGGTTGCGAGATGGCTATGGGAGTGCCTGCCATCGTAGCTTCATGCCACATGTTCCGTGAGCTTAGAGAAGAGTAGGTGAAGCCAGGAAGATAGCTCAGCAGCATAAGCACCTGCTTGGCAAGTGCAAGGTCCCAGGTTCGATCCCTGGTAGCAGGCACTCCCAGTGTGCCTTGTCTATCACCCAGTGTGGGACAGGCACAGCTGGAGAAGGGGCGGGTGGCTGCTAGCCCACCTGGGTTAAGGTCTTCCCCACTGTACTTACTGCACTCAGGCACGTTGTCAGGACTCCTAATTCGGTGAGCTGCAGTGTCCACAGTCCACGGTGCTTCCAGGCGTTCCTTTCATCCAAGAAATGTACACACACCTGGGTGTCACTCACTTCCTAAGAGATGTCAGTAAGCATCCCATGTGGCTGCATAGTGTTTTGCCCTGTGAAATACTTTATATCTGTCTGGTGGCTTGTGTCACCCGCGATGCTTCGATTGTAAGAAAGAGATTATAAGAAAGAGACCGAGTCAGCCTTGTGTTAACTTGAAACAATGCAATGATAGATGCCTGAGCACTAAATGAATATTCACAAAGTGGGAAAATTTTATAACTTACTAATCCAGATTTCTCAGTCTAACGTTTAAGCCATGTGAACAAATACAGGCTAGTAAAAGCTATGGTTTTTGTACAAAAAGAAATGACTCGCCTTGGCGAGCTTGTCGCCACCTGCGAGACGTCGTGCTGACTCAGCGTGCTCATTCCCAGGTGGTCCGCGATCAGTGAGAGCTTGTTTGCAACCACGGGTTACCCGGGCAAAGTGGCCAGCCAGTTCCAGATTCACCACTTAGGGCACCCTCAGGTAACGCAGCGGCGCTGCCTTGGTGGCTTGTGTGTCTTTTTGATTTGTGTCTTTGGTGTTTATCTCACCTGTGGCAGCACTTTTTGCTTTGCCAAAATTTGTGTAAGAAGCTTATTTCTTTTTTTTTTTTAATTTTTTTATTTATTTGAGAGAGAGAGAGAGAGAGAGAGAGAGAGAGAGAGAGAGAGAGAGAGAGAGAGAGAGGTGTGTGTGTGTGTGGCCAGCTCAGCCCACCAGGGGGCGGGGCTGGCTGGCATGTGGTGCTGGGGGATTGAACCGCGGTCCCTGATGCTTTGCTAAGCTTGTTCTAAGTAGGTGCTTTAGACCACTGAGCCATCTCTCCAGCCCCGCTTATTTCTTTTGTTGCCTCTGTGTTTTCAGTCTGGACCATCTTATTCGTATTTATAGAGTTATATCTACGTGCACAACTACACGATGTGTATTTCATCTCTGAGGAAGCATTTATTTTTTATTTTATTTATTGGAGCCCCTTGCTTTTTGTTTGTTTGTTTTCCTTTCTTTTTGTGGTGCTAGGGATTGAATGCAGAATATTCATACCGAGATGTCTCTAGTCTACTGCTTTTGTTTATTTTTTGTTTTATTTTTGTTTTGGGGTCCTTTAGAGGGATTTTGTTCATTTCTCTTTTTTTGATACTGGGAATTGAACTCATGACCTTGCACTTGCCAGGCAGGCACTGTGCATTTTGTTGTTTTTGAGACAAGGCCTCACGATGTAGGCCAGTGTGACGTTGAGCTCTGCGATCCTCCTGCCTCAGCCTTCTGAGCACTGGGACCACAGGCATGCAACACACACCCCGCGCATTTTTAAATTGTGCTTCTTCTGGAAACAAAGATAATTTATCAGTCAGTGCACCTGTTGTTCCTGAAGTCTCCCTCCTGAGCTGCGAGGCTCACCGAGCTGCTCCCGCCCCTGTCTTGCAGCCCATCCTCGCAGGCTCGGTCGCCGTGGGAGCCGGCCTGTCCTGGCACAGGACCCTCCCACTGTGCGTGCTGGGAGGAGACCGCAAGCTGTCCTTCTGGGTGACTGAGGTGTGACGCAAACGGCCTCTGGATTTCCTGTTCCTAAACTTCGTGTTTCTACAACATACTTTGGAGAATTCCTTATTTTTATATCAAGTATACTGTAAATTTTAGAAATCTCTGTTGTTGCTTTTGTTAAATAAAATGTAGGTGTTTTGAACAGTTGCTTTCCTACTCTGTTGGGTATATAGATGTTAATCATCTCGTGATTGTGCAATTCATGTAGCTCACCTGCAGAGAAGAGATGGAGAGGAAGACAGTACTTTCGACTTTGCCAAAGGATTATTCCAAGTGTGTTCTGTCTTCTGTTCTTTCAGTAAAGGATGATTTCCTGATTTTCAGGAAACAGACACTTAAAAGGGAGAATGGAACGTTCTCAGTGTATGTGGAAGTGGCTGACGCTGTGTCCATGTGCGCACTGTGCTAACAGTCTATACGCACAGGGCTTTGTAAGACCCTTAGGAATTTATTACGCAGTTTAACACAAAGAATGGAAGGATTGGCAGCTTCCCTAAAAAGTGAGTGGAGGGCTGGGGAGATAGCTCAGCGGCATAAGTGCCTGCCTCACAAGCACAAGGTCCTGAATTTGATCCCCAGTACCACAAAAAAAAGATTAAGGTTGTTCCCCAAAAGTGACTGGTTACGTCCTCCACCCCTGCCGGAACATCTCCAAGTCAGGATGGAGAAGCCCTGAGAGAGCGGCTCGGGCCCACGCCGCCCTCACGGATGGTCACCGTTCTTGGCAGGAGGCTTTCATGCGCTGGGGCTGCCTCCAGGAGGCAGTGGGGTCTGCTTCGCCCATTGAGAGCCCAGCTCCACCCTGTGTTGCTCTGACACGTCGTGATGGGCTCAGAAAGAATAAGATGCCTAGGTCCTCGTCCGGCAGAGACGCCAATAACTTTGCGCGCACACGTCCCACAGTCTGTGCCTTTTCTGTTGCGCCATTGTCTTTTGTAAATGGGGCCTGAGATTGCTGTCTTCTTGGGTGACACGGTCGAAAGGTAAGTGAAAATACCAGCATCTCTCTTCTACAGTCCAGATATGTGTGTGTGTGACTTACTTCAGAGTTGTATACTTTATTTTTTGAAGATTTTTTTATTGTCAGTAAATATTTTTACTCAATTTTTCTATTCATAAAGTATCGTAAAAGTATCTTGTGCAATCAAGATAATTATCCTTTAAGGGATTGGAAAATGTTAAGGCAATTTAAAATTAAGTGAGTGAACTTTTGTAATCATAGATGCTTGATGTAAAGTACATGCTTTGGAATACAGTGAAATATTGCATAGCAATTTCTTATATTTATTTACCACAGTAAAATGTAGTTACCCAACATGGTAGTGTACCCCTTCACTAGCCTTACCTACCCCTGCCCCTGCCCCTACCCCTAAGCCTACGAGACGACCTGGGCTCACCAGGGGAGAAGCAGAGGGCAGGCATCTTGACATGGTCCCTTCCAGCAGTCTCTGAAGGGACGGAGACCTCTGCAGGCATCAGCTAGGCCAGAAGGGGTACATTATCAAGAGTGACTCCTGTAAATTGTCACTTAAGGATGTATCCAAAACATGGTTTCGCTTATCCCAGTGCATTTGAAAATTGTTGTCTCCTACATAGAGAAACTGATTGTGCCTAGGGCTGACTGGGCAGGTGAGGACGTGGGCTTGGTATCCAGGGATGGATGTGGTTTGTCCAGAACATAAAAGCTGTTTGACAACATCACCCAGTAGGACTGCCATCGATCACCAGGGTAGCCCCTTGGGAAGCTGGCCCAGGTGCATGGAGTCCCTGTACACATGGTTATGCCCAAAAGGGCAGGGAGTGTTAACCTAAGGGAAGGGAGTTGTGGCTGCACTTGTTACTGTGCAGTGCTGCTAGGAGGCCTCCGCGAGAGCCCCACAGCGCTTAGCGCCAGGAGCCAGGGCTGCTTGTTCCTTTTCAGATTGTACATGTGGCTACAGGGCTGCTCCCCAACATCTACTCTGTTAAACTTTACTGTATTCAATTTCAGATAGTATGAAGGCTACTCCTCATCCTTGTAAATTGTTCTTTGAAATATGTTTATGTTAGACTGAGACAGGAGGAATTAGCTATTGGCCATCATTTCTGTTTCCTGATAAATAACACAAGTGCTAATACTGTGTTTCCTGGGTGGTTTTTTTTTTTCATTTTTGTTTATAAATATGTCTAAGAAGGTTTTTCTTCTGTTGAAATTACGTTTTCCTCAGGATTACTTCACACACAAACATTGTGGAAAGAAAAAAGCTTTTATGTGCTTAAACGTATATTATTTAAGGTTGTTGAAACAAAAGTCACAAGATCTTGGGGCAAATTCCTCTCCTGTCAGAATGACAGGCTCAGAAGTCCCATTTTATTTTTGTGACTTGGCCTCTGTGTAGAAATGTCTCAATGTCCCTCCCATGTCAAGGCCCAGAGCCCACGCCCACCGACTCCAGCTTCCTCTCTTCAGTCAGTTGTGACTGCATATTACCACCACCCTAGAAATGGTCCCGTGTGGTTTTGAATCTCCTATCAGAGGAGAAGAAATGGAGAGACAGTTTGCACAATTGTGTCAGGTTTTTAGGATTATCTCCAATCTGACCTCCTTCCAGGGATGTGGATGAGACAGCTGGGAGACAGGACCATGCGGTGTGGGGCCAGAGCCGTGTCCATGGCTCTGCAGCTCTGACTGGAGCCTGAGTTCTCCCGCCTGCCCGGCAGCCTGCGCTCAGCATCGAGTTAAGAGCCGCAGGGGTGAAGTGACTGCTCTGGACGGGATCCTCAGGAAAGGCTGGGGCCCTGCAAAGCAGCGCAGCATCGCAGTGCGCCCTCGCGGGCCTCCTGTGTGCTCAGGTGCCGGCCAGTGCAGGGCAGTCTGTCCTTGCTCATCACACCTCGCTGATGCAGAACCGTTCATTTCAGCACACAACTGAAAAGCGAATCAAGCCAGGTGGCAGCCCTTCCCAGCCATGCGTGCTTTATTCCCAAGACTTTAATGTAGAAATTTGTTACCTAAACATCCATGCAGTAATCAGGTCTGCGCTCTGCAGATGTCATTTCATAAAAGCAAGAGCACATCCCAATTCAGGATGCGTCCACGGCACAGGTGCAGCGAGCACAGCCTCTGCATGTGGGCACACAGACTTCGTGGGAAACTCGAAGCACGCAGCCTGCCTTGAGACCTTCCTGGCTGTTCTTTGAACCACATTAGTAAAATAATTATTGCCCTCAGGTAGCCTTGTGACATCTGTCCGGGAATTTCTGTGGATCTGCTGGTTGCCATTCAACTTTGCTCTTTGGGGCATGGTTGTTTGCCTTCTCCACCTACTTGTAACAGAGTGCCTTGGGTCCTGTAATGCTTGCAAGAGCTCACAAAATCCACGTGAACAATGCTAAGTTTAAAAAAGTCACCAGTTTCCTCAGCCTTGCCAAACAATTTTGAATAACTAAATGGACTTAAAGATCTATGAAATATTCATTTCTAACCACTGCATTTATAGTGCCGCATTGTGTGTGTACTTCTTTGTAGAAGAGATAGAAAATACCACTGGCCTCTTTGCTTCTAATGCTGGTTAAGGGAAAACTTTGATCTTTCTTATAAACACAGCTGTTATCCTGTCATCGAGCCAAATCCGGACAAGATTTCAACTCTGGCCAGAATTAAGCATAATCTTTGCGGCTATCTCAAGTAAAAGCTTTCTAATACTCTTTTAGGAAATCTCTATTTTTCAGACAGAGTACAAAGAAAATAAGTCTCAGACAACTAACCTTTAGGGTTAGCCAGAGCCGACTGATGATAAATTATACCACGGCGCTAAAGAAGATGCAGATTGTGCAACCAAATAAGTTCATGCTGGTTCACTTGTGCTTGACTCCAGCTATGAGAAGGCTTGGCGTTAATGTACAGTTTCAGCTGGGCCTTTCTGTTACCTTCTAATGAACATCTTTCTATTAATGTGATGTTTGTTGTCTTCTGCTAGTGCTAATGAACACTAGGTGCTTACTTTAAGACAATACCTGATACATATTTTCTTATAAGTACTGAATAATCATTTTGATAACCAAACTACCCAAAAGATTAGTCATTTCTCTCTGCATTTCAAATTTTCTGGGCGTTTCAGCTCATAACCAGTGTTTTACAGGACTGATTCTCCGAGTTGGTCACTAGCCAGTGGCTTCCCCAAATTGCCTCGCTCCTGGAGGACACCATGGAGCTCTGGTGCTAGACTTGCCGACCAAGACTTTCCTGACACTCGGGAGCAAGTCTGGGAGCTGCCGGTGTACCTCGCTGCCCAGAAGGCCTCAGCCCATCCTGCGTCTACCTACAGGCACGCCAGACCCCAGGCCTGGAGAACAAACCCAGTCATGTCATGTTCTTGACCTGTTCCTGTCCCTGTCACCCACTGCCACTGACCTAAACTGCATCCACGTGTGTGGGGAATCTGCAGAGCCTATTGATGCCAAATGCCTGGAAAGGTGTGGAGTGGCTGCTGCTCCAGACTGCCACCATCAGAGCCCTCCTTTCTTAAAAATCTGGGGTCCTGAGCGTATATAGACACCCCCAAGTCAGACTTGTTGACATGTTTCTACCAGTCACTGACCTCAGGTGACCTGACACTCTCTGCTTCCTACCCCAGAAGACCTTAACAGAGGGGAAATGAGTGCTGGGAGCTCAGACAGAGGCCTTTGCAGAGCCCACGCAGAAGCCTGGAGCAGTTAGGAAGTCCCTGCACTATGTGTGTGTGTGTACGTGTGTGTGGCACACACTACATCGGCCTCTTGCACTGCGGCTAGAGCCCAGTGGTAGATTGCTTACGCAGAAGGGCCTCAGTTTGGCTTTCTCTTTTTTGTTTTGTTTTGTTTGGGGGGTCGCTTTTCTTAGTCTTTATTTATTTGGCCCAGGGACTCACTACGCAACTTGGATTCATAGCGATCCTCCTGTTTTAGCCTCCCCAGCACTGAGATTACAGGTGTGCACCATCACGCCTGGTTTCAGTGGCCTTCATGGCATGCAGTACCAGGAACCGAACTTGGGTCCTTTCTTGCACTTGCCAGACAGATGCCTAGACCACCAAGCTGTCTCCCTGGCCACAGTCCTCGGTTTTGATCTGTATCACAGAAGAGGGATGGGGGCTTTCCGTGCTAAAAAACACTGAACCATTTCC